ATCACGGATTTCTGACCATAACCAATCTTAGATGTCCTCGACGTCGTGAACATAGAATTGAAGGTATTCTCAGGGACTTCGACATCCAGGGCAGCAGAGCAACAAATTTCTATTGGCAGCTCATCCATCAGTTCTGTTCAAACCTGTGAGCCACTGTTGCTGTGTGACTATTTATCTTGGCTTGGAGAGATTTACCACACATCTTTATCGTCAACTTCACCGTTCGGAGCCCACCTTCTCACCAGCTGGTGAGATAGTTCCTGTTAGTGGGCGTCATTCACCAATAACACCTAAACTTTCTTTCCAATGTTCTTGGATGACTGTATATCTAAAATTCAACATTATTGTTAACAATGATAATAAACGAAATTTAAGGATGAAAGAATCTTTAATGAGTTTTCACAAAAGATAAATACTAAATCATTTTTTTAAACAGAAACTAAATACTATTTGGAAAGCGTGTATTAAGTTTCATGTAGTTTGATTACGTATTTCCACTGTAGGAAGGAAAAAGATCAAAAGATATCAGTGACATCTCTTCATTCTGAAAAAAGTGAATTGGATTTATAGTGTTACTACTGCACCCAGGGTATGTCGATCTTAATTGCTTTTATGTTATTTTATTGTAAAACTTTACGACTGTGATAACTCGTTATTTAAATACTATACATATCATTAGAAGTTAAGTCACATTTGTGGAACCGTTAGTGGTTTGCATGCAAATAAGCACAATACTCTTGGCCCAGTGTTTTTTGATTGTAGATTTTCTTGAAGCTGTAATCGAGATTCTTTAACACGATATTAGATTCCATAATAATAACGACAATGATGGGGGGAAAAAGAAGGTAATATACACACGAACGCCAGTACCTATAAAGTGAAATAGCTATGTTAGTAGTATGTACTTATGTAAATATGTGTATATACATTTATAATCTATTATATTCACCCAGGTTCATTCTTATTGTGATCATATCGTTCTTCTGTTGAGACTCGTAATTTGTCCCCGAACGACCTGTCTCAATCACACGTGCATATATTACCTGTTCACTATAGGCCGGTACTATAGTGCGGCAAGTCAATAAATCGCTTGTTGGTATTTCGGTACTCATAGGCTATGTTTAGCGGTTAAAATCTTCCTGCCTCTCTGATTTATTACGCAAGAATCAACCCCGTAATTTCGCGGGTGATTTTAGTGGGGCCGTTGATGCTTTAAGTGTGATTACTACACATTTGCTTTGGACCACCCTGGCGACGTACAAGAAGGTCACGTATAGACAGTTGGAATTCAGTACAAAGACTCATCGTTACTAAACATATAAACCTTTACTTGTATACGAACCCACAGAAGTATCGTAGATCGACAAGTATAAGATTTGGCTGCTAAATTAATTCCGTACTACTTATCTCGGGGCTAAGGTTACAACGTAAGTTGGAACTGAAATTATAGCTTTGGTGTTTCTGCTATAATTAAGGGTAAAGAATCGTGTGTTATAACCGAGACGACGTGCATACTAGTGGCTTCGTTATAAATTTTTATGTAGATAACTCGTTCATCTGTTGTACAGCATATATCAACGTACAGATGTACAAGTACACTCGGGACCTTTGTGCAACAAACACGCATGTAACTACATACGTATCTATTGAGAAAGATCGATATTATCGTGCATGCTGTTTACTCTTTCTGCTCATTAGTTTTGAAATAACGTAGTTATATTCCGTAAAACTTGGCTCAATTTTATCATAAAAATTTTAGAATTAATATATAACTATGTATTATCAAACCAAGTTTATAATGTAACAGAATAGTTTTAGATATCAATCTG